TTTAATTGAATGATAAAAAATATTTTAATTTAGAAAAATTTAATGCTTTTTTAGTTTATGTATAACACCTTTAAACATAAACTATTACGATAGAGAAGGAATATATAGAAAAACTTCTCAACAGAAGAGATTCTTAGTTTTGTCTTGTCTGCGAAGGCACTAAAAGTACAACGCATGACATGTTCGATGCTCGAGTAAGATGCCGTAAAAGTACAACGCATGACATGTTTGATGCTCGAGCAAGATGCCGTAAAAGTGCAACACATGACATGTTCGATGCTCGAGCAAGATGCCGAGATAGGGGAAAAAGAGATTCTCAAGGTCAACTTTGAAATTCATTGGCAGAGAATATACTAATTTAATCTATTTTCGTTTATATTTGGAAATATACGGACCAAATATAGGAAGTTGTTGATATATAATCTAAAAGTTAAAACTATAGTAGTTAATTATATGTTTCAATCGACCAAAAAAAAATTATATGTTGTAAAAGATCTATAGTTATATATAATCCACACCCAAAAACTCATCAGTGTGACAAATTAAATAACAAAAATAAATAAAATACTAATAATTAAGAATATGTTCCAAATGCTACATATACAAATCCATAATAACATATTTAATTATTTTGTTATAATATGATTTTATTACTTATTTAATATAAATATATTCAAGCACTTGTATTTAACTACGTACGACATATATAATTACCGAAGCATGATCCGACCAAAACCTTAAATACCAGAATCAAATTAAGGTTAAATTCAATACAAACCGAATCAAACCAGACCGCTTTGGTCCATTGCAACATCCTCATCTGTACGTATAGTTCAGAGGTTTAATATGATCAGGTATTGATATATAGGTTATCACAATAAATTTCGTGTCAAAATTGAATTTTCTAAATTTAGTAATGATTCTTTTGCTTGACTAGATTAGTCTCTTTATCGCCATCTTCACTATAAATACATGTGCTTAAGCTCACACATCCTTCACACCGAAATCTCTTAAATCTAAATACGCATAACAAGTCTCGATCTATTTTACCCTCAATCGCCTAGTTTAGCAACAAAAGACATGGCAATCTCCAAGTTTCTTGTTGTCTTGGCTCTGTTCTTTACATGCCTATCTCTTGCTATTTCAGAACCGAGCAAACCCTGGGAACAAAGTAAGGATATATCTAATTCATATTTATACCCTCTCTTAATAAGTAAAAAAATATAATATTGATAGATTATCTTGGTTTTTGTAGGTAAACAATATACATTACATTGTTATATATATGTTACATCTGTGATCTCTGTCTCTCATATGATTAGTATGATACATATATACTCATATTTTACGTACATAAACAGCTGAAATGGTGAATCCCAATGAAGAAACCGATGTGAAAGAGCCAGATCAAAATGGTGGAGGATACACAGGTTGGTGCAGGCACGGTTGCTGCTATGGGGGAAGCAACGGATGCATCCGATGCTGTCGTTACCCCAACGAGAAAACTAACAGTGTGGAGATACAGAAGAAACGCAGCCGTGGCGGTTGCAAATACGGTTGCTGCGGTAGCTACGCTTATGGACAGTGCAGTGCATGTTGCAGCCTCAGCCAAGTCGCAGAGAAAGCTAAGGAGCAGGAAGCAACTCCAGTTTGGGCTCAGGTCCAACCTTGAAAAAGGGAGTTAAACCATACTCCATGGACATGTTACCGTAAAAACGTATGGCCGCTTTAAGCACTTCTTTTAATACAATAATAAATGGTACTATATGCACGTATCTTAGATGGTACGTGGGAATAAAACGAGTGGCCTTTTGTATGTATGTTTGTTTTGCATGCATGCGCGTTACTTCTATACAAGTTTTCTTAAAGCTTAGCGTGAAATTTATCTGAATGGGGTTTAAATTCAGAGTGTCAACGATTTCGATGCATAATCGGATACTATTTTATAACGTATATAATATCTTTAAGAATCGGGAACCGATCTCAACCAACACAGCTGAACCTTAAGGTCTTACTTTGAAGACTTGGAGAACTTTATACGAGCTATATTTCACTAAATCATGTAGATTTATAGACTTGTCGTGTACTTATATGTAATCAATTACAATTAGCATTCCAGAACAAAGAGAGAAGATACTCAAGTCCACCAACAAACAAAAGAAAAAGAAGATATTATGGGCCGACATCAATATGTATACATATATCGTACAGGCTCACTGGATCTTCATCTTACCGATTTCATCTATAGTCACATCACCAAAATTCCAGGCCACTATATTTTTAACGAGTAATATATATAAGCGTTTAACAATTTTACCGAAAACTTTTGTAAACAAGGAATAAATTTCGTTTCCCTAATCATAAAATATTTTTTTTTCAAAAAATATAACATATCCGTAGTCGATAGATAAACCGGGATGAATTCGGAGTCAAGCTTTAGAGCAAGTGGGGCTAAATCTTGAATTCGAGCAAAAAGACTAATTTACATGCTTTCATCTCCGTCCACACACTGCCTTGCGAAGTAGAATTAAAGAGGCTTGAGGCAAATTGTAAATATGTGGCTTTTTATCGCAAAAGATGTTTATACCATTTAAACATATGGTTCTTATATTATTTTTACTTGATCATTGAAAATTTTATTTTTCTAACAAATATGATTTTAAACCATCATATCCTAAAATATATATAGTTATGATTTTCACAAAATTATAATTCCATAACACTTTTCTAGTTTATGTAAAATAAAAATATCTCTTACGTAAATAGTAATCTCTAAGAAACACAAGCTTCTATGAAAGTCCATGTGAAGCTTCCTCTGATGTACACTGTGATAAATCATTTGTCTGAAAACCATAATTGTCTACAAAGTCAAAACTCGCATTCTTCACCCGTATTCACCTCTTAGCATCTTTTTCACCCATTGCGATCGCATCATGTGTCTTTTGAGTGAACTTTCCCTTCATTTTTTTGTTTTTTGATAACCTACATTTTTTTTTGTTGCAAACTGTAACGTTTGTAGATACGTTCCATTAC